AATCTTTTCAACCGTCTTAATTATACTTTTTTTAATATTTAATGTTTTCCTTTTTCTTTAACCTTATATATATATATATATATATATATATAATTTAAATGAAAAACAAACAACTTTAAGGTTCCATTGTAATAATTTATTTCACCAGAGAGTTTTATTTTTCTATGGATCTTCAGGCTTCACTTTCAAAGGTGAAACGAAAAATGAATTTAAAATTTACACTTTTGGCGGGAAGTATTAAACTTATATAAGTTGAATTAGAGGGTGATGAGGAATGGTGTGAGAGACATGGTCAAGTTTAGAGAGGGAAGGGAGAGTTTAAAATTCATCTTTATATTTCTTTTTATTACAATATTTAATATTGAGGAAGAAGGGGGTAATGATCAAACATTGACTTATTTAATCGGTCTACTTAACGGAAATGATACGGAAAAAGGAAGAAAGAAAAAAGGAAAAAAAAAGGGGGAAGTAAAGAGATAAGAAATCTACGTAGGGTTTTTGGAGGAAGAAAAGGGGTGGTATAAATTTAGCAATTTAGATAAAAACTTCTTTTAACGTTTGATAGTAATTAAGATGTTTAAAAACTCTACAAAGAAATTAAATTTAATGCTTGTTAGCTATTTAAATATTCAACTTCTCCACAAATAAGTTGCTGACCCTGAAGATCTTTTTAGGTGAAACCAAGGTAGGTAGTTTCTGGCTCTTTTATCGATTATTTTATTTCTTTGCTTTACTTACCGTATTGAGCAATCTACGTTTTATCTTAGTTACTTGCTTGTTTTTTTTGTTTCTTTTTTTTTACTGAAAATTTAAGGCACTTGACAATTTTTTCGCCCTGTTCGGACGTTCCTCGTTTTTTCTTTTTATTTCCTATTTTTTCCTTGGGTAGCAATTTATTTTGATATACTTGCATATTATGCCATACTATTTTTTTTTACCAACTGAGTATAATTATTAGTATATATATATATATATATATATATATATATATATTTAGTTTATGAAAAACTAGGTAATCCGTATAGGTAAACCTAAAGAGGATAAAATCCAGAGAGCTCAATGTAAATTCAGAGCAAATAATTTAAATAAAAACAAGAAAATTAGTGACATCATCTCTCTTAATTTCCTTCTCTCTTTTTCTCTCTATGTGTTTTTTCTTCTCTACCTCTTCGATATCAATATATAACTTCCGTTAAGTTAACCGTTTAAATGTATCAATATCTGCTAACTCACTCATGTCTTCTCTCTCCCCTCACTTCCACACTTCGTTAATTTACATATGTTTAATACGGCCCGTCAAAAATGTGTAAATTTTCTTTTCATTTTTTGTTTGGAAGTAAAGGCTGATGATCCGCAGTCCTTTTAAAAGGGCTGTTGTGAAATAATTTATTACATGGAACATTAAAGTGGTCTGTTTTTATTTAAATTATATATATATATATATATATATATATATATATATATATATATATATATATATATATATATATATTAATTGATTTATAATATTAATGCTCTGTAAATTTACATGGAGCACTATTTTGTAAAAATAAAAAATATCTATAAGAACACCGGATTTTATATCTTACTGTTCTTTCTTTTTATTTATATACATATATATATACATAAGTGAACATTCAAGTCAACACTCAGTGGCGACTGTTTCATGCTTGACACAATCATCAGGTGTGAGTTATATTATGACTCTTATATTTACACACGCTCTATCTCTGATATTGAGCACTTTATCACATAAATATAGCATACCTTAAGACTATATATATATATATATATATATATATATATATATATATAATAACTATGAACCTAAAGAGCCAGGCAAACCTACCTAGGTTTTCACCTACGCAGATCGCCAGTGATAATAAACAGTATTAACAACATTTACCGGCCTGAATGGCCGAAAAAGCTCAAAGAAAATTTTTTCCTGTCGAAGAACACAATTATTTCTTTGAGTTTTCTCGGACATTCAGGCCAGTAATTGTTGTTAATAGTTGTTTACGTTAAGATACGCTTTGAGCAGATATGAGCGTTCGAGAAAAATCATGGGAAGATTGGAGTTCAATATATATATATATATATATATATATATATATATATATATATATTAATTGATTTAAAATTTTTTTTTTCGCTATACAGTTCTAAACATGTTTCAAAAATGGAAGCTAAAAGCTTCGAATTTAATTTTGTAATTAAATTAAAGACATTAGTTCCATTTCATGAAACTGTGTTAGAACTGTGTAGCGAAAAAAACATATATTAAATCAATTAATTTATAATATTAATGCTCTATAAATTTATATTGAGCACTATTTTGTAAAAATATCTGTAAGAACACTGGATTATATATCTTACTGTTCTTTCTTTATATACACACACACACACACATACATATATAATTTAAAGAAAAACAGACCACTTTAAGGCTCCATATGTAATAATTTATTTCACCAGAGAATTTTATTTTTCTCTGGCTAAAATGAAGCCCAGTGGACGAGGTGAGGGAGTGCGATTCAATATTCTCTGGTGAAATAAATTATTACAAATGGAAACTTTATGTGGTCTGTTTTTTCGTTAAATTAATTTATTCGCTCTGATTTAACATTGATCTCTCAGGAAATCATTCTCCTTGGGATTTCGTTACTTATATATATATATATATATATATATATATATATATATATATATATATATATATATACCTGTGCAAGTGAAGATAGGTCAGTGATTGGGTTTCGATACTGGGTTGAGGCATTCAGGTGTGTAGTCGCACTGAGGAACAGTAATACAGCGAAATAGTACTGTTTGTGAATGACATAATTTAACGCTGTTGAGTAATAAGATAATTCTATGAACAACACCCACCTGCGCTAATGCAAACTCTCTCTCTCTCTCTCTCTCTATATATATATATATATATATATATATATATATATATATATATATATATATATATATATATATATATATATATATAAAACATTTTTATGTTTAACTTTCTTTTATAAATACAGAAGAATGTTAAACATAAAAATGTCTTAAAAATAATTGTCGGACTTTGTCCATTTCATTATTATATATATATATATATATATATATATATATATATATATATATATATAGGAAAGTAAATTTTCGCTTGAGGATGAAACAGGGCTTTAACTCAATTTAATTTTAATAATTTTATTGAGGTTTTCGGCTCTTGTTTTTGAAACATGAGAACTCTTAGGTAGCGAAGGAATCATATTTTTTTAAAAATAATTATAATTTAAGCTTTACTTCTGTATAGAGCACTGTTTTTTAAAAATAAAAACAAAAATACTAAAGAACCTCGGATTATTTACCTAAATGTATTTTCCTATTTTTTCTACATATCTGCATATATATATATATATATATATATATATATATATATATATATATATATATATATATATATATATATATATATATAAATGGATTTTAGTTTATATGAATTACACTCGAACTATTGTCTTTATCTTTGATGTTATTGTCACATTATTCCCTGAAGGCGATCCATGTCTATTTCACACACACACATACACATATGCATACATACATACATACATATTTCTGTGAAATTGTGTGCGTGTGTGTGTGTGTGAATATTCACAAAAACTCTAGTAATATCTAAGCCTGTTCGTATCTATTAATTTATTTCCCTTCTATCTATCTATCTATCTATCTATCTATCTATTTCCGTCTATTCGTATTTATCACACATACATACACATATATATATGTGTGTGAGAGAGTTTTTGTGTGTATGTGAACATCCAAATAAATCCTAATATCTAAGACTGTTCGTTTCTTTCCATCTATCTATCTTTCTATCTCTCTGTCTGCCTATTTATTTGACCCTGTTCACATATATCAATGTACCTATTTCTATCTATTCTTATTTATCACACCCGCACACATACATACACATATATATGTGTGAGAGTATATATATATATATATATAGATAGATAGATAGATAGATAGATAGATAGATAGATAGATTATACATTCAACACCAACACTTGATAAAATACCGGAAGTGTTGAAACAAAATGGCTATTCGTATTTATCACACATACATACACATATATATATGTGTGTGAGAGAGTTTTTTTATAGTAAATTTATAACATGTTTATGTTATTGTTTTCGAATAAATAATTATATTTGCTCTACTCTGTATTGAGCACTCTTCTAAGAATAGTATTTGTTGGTTATTGGAAGTATACACCAATCCTATACTTGGATAGATAGATAGATAGATAGATAGAGATAGATAGATAGATAGATATTCTGTTTAGACGTTATTTTCATAGATACAAATATTTAAATGAATGGTCCGTTTATAATAAACAGTTTGAGTTATATTTACTGGCCTGAATGTCCGAAAATTTTCATATAACTATATGTCCTCTGACAGGAATCGAACCTGTATCCGACACAAAATTCATGGAAATTTGTTGTTTAAATGCTGTAATTTGATTTTTTCTATCCAGATGTTTCCCCTGTAGCTAAATGGTGTAGCACGTCAGCCCAAATGACGGTTTCGTATCGGATGATTGACTACTACTAATTTGTATCTATTTCAGTCTTTTCGTATCTATCTGTCTGACACTTTTCGTTTATTTCTGTCTAATTCCCTCTATCTCGTCAGGGTACGCTGGCCAAAGAGGTAACATTAGAACAGAATATAAATAACCTACAACATAAAAACATAACCATGTGACCCAAAAAAAAAAATAAAAAATAAAAATAAAAAAATGAAAATAAAAAAATGAAAAAATAAAAATAAAAAAATAAACCGTACCCTGACGGTCCGCGTAGGTGAAACCTAGGTAGATTTGCCTGGCTTTTTAGGTTCACACACACACACACACACACACACACACACACACACACACACACATATATATATAAAATTATTATTATTATATATATATATATATATATATATATAATTATTTATTAAAAATATGCCTTTATTATATATATATATATAATTATTATATATATATATATATATATATATATATATATATATTATTTATTTAAAAATATGATTACAAAGCTATAATTAATTATCTAAAAATATGATTCCAACTAACACAAATAAATAATTATATTTTTAAATATAATATATAAATATATATATATATATATATATATATATATTTCTATAGCGTGCAACCTCTCTCCCTTCAATGTGATGAAGTAAAGAACATCCCAGATTTAAAATTCCACCGTTTTTCTCTTTTTACAAATCGAACTTTTAATTCAATCTTGTTTAACGACAAGAGGTCGCCTCATCACTTTCGTTTAGTCTGGGAGTTCCAACCCAGCGCCACATTTCCAGGGGTAGGGTCGTTCCAACTTGAACTTTAACATCCGCACACACGATCACATGCACACACACGAGCACGTGCCGAGGAAGCCATCGATCCGCGTCATTCTCAATAAATAATTCATTATATTCTTATTTCTTCCTAATCTCTGTTTTCCAGCCTGAGTCTAGGGGATCAGTGTCCGACTTAACAATTGCCTTATTATCATTTGACTAGTCATTTACTATTTAACTGTCCACTTCATTCAAGCGCGAATAACTGCTTCCGTACGCTTTTCTAGAGAGCAAAATATTATGGCTTTTAATGTCTTTGTCATTGTTTTTATTGTTAACAATTTACGACTTTAGAAGGGTCTCTCTCTTTTTTTTTCTCAATTTTTTTCTTTAGGTTAACAGTTTCTTCTTCTTCTTCTTCTTCTTCTTCTTCTTCTTCTTCTTCTTCTTCTTTGTCTCTTGCAGCATTTCTCCTTCGTCTTCTTTTTCTTCTAATTATTTTTCTTTGTCCGTCTTCATTTTTTTGTCTTTTTGCACCATTTCTTCTTCTTCTTCTTTACCTCTCTACATCCCCTTTCTCCTCCATCTATTCCTCTTCTTCTTCTTCTTCTTCTTCTTCTTCTTTTACCCTCTACACCCTCTTTTCTCCTCCATCTATTTCTTCTTTTTCTTCTTCTTCTCCTTCTTCTTCCTTTTACCCCCTTTCTCCTCCATCTCTTCTCTTCTTCTTCTTTTTCTTCTTGTCCTCCTCCCTTCTTCTTCTTTAACTCTTTCCCATTTCTCCTCCATCTTCTTCTTCTTCTTTTTCTTCTCCTCCTTCTTCTTCTTCTTCTTTAACTTTTTACGCCCCCCTTTCTCCTCCATCTCTTCTTCTTCTTCTTTTCTTCTTTTCCTCCTTCTTCTTCTTTAACTCTTTACACCCCTTTTCTCCATCTCTTTCTTCTTCTTTTCTTCTTCTCCTCCTTCTTCTTCTTCTTTAACTCTTTCTTTCTCCTCCATCTCTTCCTCTTCTTCTTTTCTTCTTCTCCTCCTTCTTTTTCTTCTTAACTCCTTCTTCTCCTCCATCTCTTCCTCTTCTTCTTTTCTTCTTCTCCTCCTTCTTTCCTTCTTTAACTCTTTTCCTTTCTCCTCCATCTCTTTTTCTTTTTCTTCTTCTCCTCCTCCTTCTTCTTCTTCTTTAACTCTTTACCCCCCTTTCTCCTCCATCTCTTCTTCTTCTTCTTCTTCTTCTTCTCCTCCTTCTTCTTCTTTAACTCTTTACACCCCCTTTCTCCTCCATCTCTTCCTCTTCTTCTTTTTTCTTCTTCTCCTCTTCTTCTTCTTTAACTCTTTACACCCCCTTTCTCCTCCATCTCTTCCTCTTCTTCTTTTCTTCTTCTTCTCTTCTTCTTCTTCTTTAACTCTTACACCCCTTTCTCCTCCATCTCTTCCTCTTCTTCTTTTTCTTCTTCTCCTCCTTCTTCTTCTTCTTTAACTCTTTACACCCCCTTTCTCCTCCATCTCTTCCTCTTCTTCTTTTTCTTCTTCTCCTCCTTCTTCTTCTTCTTTAACTCTTTACACCCCCTTTCTCCTCCATCTCTTCCTCTTCTTCTTTTTCTTCTTCTCCTCCTTCTTCTTCTTCTTTAACTCTTTACACCCCTTTCTCCCCCTTTCTCCTCCATCTCTTCCTCTTCTTCTTTTCTTTTTTCTTCTTCTCCTCCTTCTTCTTCTTCTTTTAACTCTTTAACTCTTTTTACCCCCTTTCTCCTCCATCTCTTCCTCTTCTTTTTTTCTTCTTCTCCTCCTTCTTCTTCTTTAACTCTTTACACCCCCTTTCTCCTCCATCTCTTCCTCTTCTTTTTCTTCTTCTCCTCCTTCTTCTTCTTCTTTTTTACACCCCCTTTCTCCTCCATCTCTTCTTCTCCTTTTCTTCTTCCTCCTTCTTCTTCTTCTTTTAACTCTTTACACCCCCTTTTCCTCCATCTCTTCCTCTTCTTCTTTTCTTCTTCTCCTCCTTCTTCTTCTTCTTTTCTTTAAATTTCTCCTCCATCTCTTCCTCCTTCTTTTTCTTCTTCTTCTCCTTCTTCTCTTCTTTAACTCTTTACACCCCCTTTTCTCCATCTCTTCCTCTTTTCTTTTTTTCTTCTTCTCCTCCTTCTTCTCCTTCTTTAACTCTTTACACCCCCCCTTTTCTCCTCCATCTCTTCCTCTTCTTCTTTCTTCTTCTCCTCCTTCTTCTCCTTCTTTTCTTTACACCCCTTTCTCCTCCATCTCTTCCTCTTCTTCTTTTTTCTTCTCCTCCTTCTTCTTCTTCTTTAACTCTTTACACCCCCTTTCTCCTCCATCTCTTCCTCTTCTTCTTTTTCTTCTTCTCCTCCTTCTTCTTTCTTTAACTCTTTACACCCCCTTTCTCCTCCATCTCTTCCTCTTCTTCTTTTTCTTCTTCTCCTTCTTCTTCTTTAACTCTTTACACCCCCCTTTCCTCCCTCTTCCTCTTCTTCTTTTTCTTCTCCTCCTCCTTCTTCTTCTTTAACTCTTTACGCCCCCCTTTTCCTCCATCTCTTCTTCTTCTTCTTTTTCTTCTTCTCCTCCTCTTCTTCTTCTTTTCTTTTCTTCTCTTCTTCTTCTTCTTTTCTTCTTCTTCTTCCTTCTTCTTCTTCTTTTAACTCTTTACCCCCTTTTCCTCCATCTCTTCCTCTTCTTCTTTTTCTTCTTATTCTTCTTCTTCTTCTTTTTTAACTTCTTTTTCTTCCTCTTCTTCTTTTTCTTCTTCTTCTCCTCCTTCTTCTTCTTCTTTAACTCTTTTACACCCCTTTCTCCTCCATCTCTTCTTCTTCTTTTTTCTTCTTCTTCCTCCTTCTTCTTCTTCTTTAACTCTTTACACCCCCCTTTCTCCTCCATCTCTTCCTCTTCTTCTTTTTCTTCTTCTCCTCCTTCTTCTTCTTCTTTTAACTCTTTACACCCCCTTTCTCCTCCATCTCTTCCTCTTTCTTTTCTTCTTCTTCTTCCTTCTTCTTCTTCTTTAACTCTTTTCCTCCATTCTTCCTCTTCTTTTTTTTTCTTCTTCTTCTTCTTCTTCTTCTTAATCCCTTCTTCTCTTCTTCTTCTTTTTCTTCTTCTGTTTTTGTACCTTTTTCTTCTTACACCCTTCTTCTTTTAATCCTCTACACCTTTTTCTCCTCCATCTGTTTTGTCTTCTTTTTCTTTTCTTCTTCTTCTTCTTCTTCTTCTTTACCTCTCTACCCCCCTCTCTCCTCCATCCATCTATTCTTCTTCTTTTCTTCTTCTTCCTTCTTCTTCTTTACCTCTCTACACCCCTTTCTCCTCCATCTATTCTTCTTCTTCTTTTTTTTCTTCTTCTTCTTCTTCTTTTTTCTTCTTCTTCTTTTCCTTCTTCTATTCTTCTTCTTCTTCTTCTTTTTTCTCTTTCTGTTTTTTTTTCTTCTTCTCTTTCTTTCTTTTTACCTCTCTTCTTACCCTCTTTCTCCTCCATCTATTCTTCTTCTTCTTTTTCTTCTTCTCCTTCTTCTTCTTCTTTACCTCTCTACACCCTCTTTCTCCTCCATCTATTCTTCTTCTTCTTTTTCTTCTTCTCCTCCTTCTTCTTCTTTACCTCTCTACACCCCATTTCTCCTCCATCTATTCTTCTTCTTCTTCTTTTTCTTCTTCTTCTTTTTTTCTTCTTCTTCTTCTTTTTCTTCATCTTCTTCTTCTTCTTCTTCTTTGTCTCTTGCACCATTTCTTCTTCTTCTTCTTTTTTACCTCTCTACACCCTCTTTCTCCTCCATCTATTCTTCTTCTTTTTTTCTTCTCCCCTTCTTCTTCTTTACCTCTCTACACCCCCTTTCTCCTCCATCTATTCTTCTTTTTCTTTTTCTTCTTCTAATTCTTCTTCTTTGTCCCTCTTCATCATTTCTTTTTCTTCTTCTTCTTTGTCTCTTGCACCATTTCTTCTTCTTCTTCTTCTTCTTCTTCTTCTTCTTCTTCTTCACCTCTCTACACCCCCTTTCTCCCCCCATCTCTTCTTTTTCTTCTTCTTTTGTTTTGTCTCTCTTCCCCACTACTTCTTTGTTTACTTTACCTCCCTCCACTCCTTCAGTTTTGTCTCTCTAACCATTTATTGTTATTCTTCTTCTTTACCTCCCCACCCACTTCTTTTTCGGAGGTCTTTCTCCACTCCTCCTCCGCCACCTCCTCCTCTTCCCCCCTCCTCCTTCTTCTCCTTCTTCCTTCCCGTCTTGCTCTTCTTCTTCTTCTTCTTCTTCTCGGCGATCATCACATTTTTTGGTAGACAACTGTGAACTAAAAATACAGTAAATCTAAGACATTATTTAATTAGGAAAGCTTTTGATTGATTTTTATGAATAAAATATATTATTGGACACTACTCTGTTAGAAAAAACTATTTTTCGATCAATAATAAATTTTTACAAGATTTGTTTTGATTTAAAATTTGTTTTATGTAGAATAATTTATAAACATTTAAATCTTTGAAAATTCTGTATTAATTTGTAGCCGTCAAATTATATTATTAAATTAACATTGAATTTACTAATTATAAATGGAAAAGCTCGCTACAGTTCAACGATCTACAATATTTTAAAAAGAATTTTGAATTTTTTTTATGTGCGTATAAACGTATCGATTTTTACAAATACTGCCATCCATACACACATATGAGCGTACATACAGTAAATTTAAAATTTATTTTCTAACATATTCTCACCACGCGCTTTCGTAAAGTCGGTGTACCTAAAATTCAATAAATATTAGAATGCTTAAAATATTTTCATTTGTTAAGATTACTCGCTAGTTAAAAATATATAAAATTCGTTCACGTTGTATTCGTCATGCAATTATATTTCTCTTATATTTCACACACTTTCAATTTACTAATCAGAGTGTCAATACATCCTTAACAAGTCAAAGAATACCTCCCGCCTTCTTGAAAAAAAATTGTTTTCTGTGATATTGTTAACTAATTTAAAAAAATTAAGAATAAATCAGCTATTTTTCTCAAATAGCGTTTTAAGAAAGTATTTCATTTTTTTTAAGTATTTTTTAGTAAAAAGAATCATGTTGTGTTGACAGATTTCTCAATATGGTCGAATTTATATATTTTTCTGATAATCAGAAAAACTGATTCCAATCAATTTAAATTCGTTTTTGAAATGCACCAATGTATTTTGCTTATTGGGAATATTAAATTTTAACTTATTTACATTATTCGGACTATTGTCCTCATATTTGTCGCCATATTTATCACAACGTTACGGCTGTTGTACGCTTCGGCCTTCTTCAGGTGGTTGGAACGTCCAACTGAACCCTTTATTTCACTCACTGGGGTAAACTGTTCTAGTTCCACGTGCCATGCTTGATGTATGTCAGTTATCAGTTATCTCCTGCTAATTTCCCTCTGAAAGTTATCCACTGCCTTAACCGGGTATTGAACTCACAACTCTTTGGGTCCTGTCACTGGATCTAACCAACGCCTTTATCCACTGTGCCCTGTGTCCTTGATGGCGTTGTGATAAATATGGCGATAAAGATGAGGACAATAGTCCGAATAATGTAAATAGTGTACATAATACCTAATCTCAGAAATATAGACAGATACTAAAGGGCCGAAACGTTGTAATAAATATGGCGACAAAGATGAGGACAATAGTCCGAATAATGTAAATAATGCACACAATACCTCATCTCAGAAATATAGAAAGATACTGAAGGGCCGAAACGTTATAATAAATATGGCGACAAAGATGAGGACAATAGTCCGAATAATGTAAATAATGTACATAATACCTCATCTCAGAAATATAGACAGATACTAAAGGGCCGAAACGTTGTAATAAGTATGGCGACAAAGATGAGGACAATAGTCCGAATAATGTAAATAATGTACATAATACCTCATCTCAGAAATATAGA